CTGGTGGCTACCATGTTGGACAGGGTGCTCTTAGAACAATAAAACAAAAACAAAATTGTGGCTGTTCTTCCAGGAGATGAGAAGAGAGGAAAAAAATTACTTTTTCATCTTTCTCTCCTTTAGCTGAGAAATAAGACAGAAATGAATATCTCAACAGATTATCTCGATGCATTGGGTTACAGAGAACAGAAGTCACTCAAAATAGCTTAAGCAAATCAGGAAGTGTTTTGGAAGGATACACGGGCATCTCATGGAAACTGGGAAAAGGAAATGCAGCCTTTTGGGAACAGGAAAGCCAGTGGCATCCAAGACAAATTCTTTCTATTTCAGTCTCTGTTCCTTTGTTTGGGAGTGTAACTTTCTCTCCTTTGCTCAGGCCAGAGAATGTCTCCTGTATTTCTCTCTGTGTTTGGGCTGGGTTTACGCTTCTATCTCAGAGACTGGTTCTCTCCATTTTCCACCTTAAAGAGCAGAGTGACTAGTCCAAATGTGCTCCTCTGTCCCTGAATTAACAGATTGTACAAGTCCAGTACTCAAAGCTAAACAACCCAGCCTCTCAACTAGTACCAATTTCAGATTTGTGAGGGAAAGAATTTAATTGGCTCATCTCAGCCAATGACTTGGCTTCCCCTGGTCAGGGTTTTTTTCTTATCCAATCAGCTGTGTCTGGAGGTGAGTGGGTGGAGCCTCTTACAACGGAAAGAGCGTCTCAACCTATGGATGAGGAGACAGTTCTTGGAGAACAGGGACGTGGCTCAGTGAGCTCCCACAAAGCAGCTACTTCCATGATGAGCAAGGAGTCAGAACACAAAACATTCTTGGCTGCTATTTGTCTACCCAAGAAAAATCCAGCAGCAATAAAACAGACTCCAGACTTTTGTGTTGAACAAAAAATGGAGACTTGAATACATCCCTGTTTATAGCAGCATTATTTTCAATAGCCAAAAAGTGGAAGCAATCCAAGTGTTATCAGCTGATGAATGGCTAAACAAAATGTGGTATATGCATATAATAGAATATTATTCAGCCTTAAAAAGGAAGGGAGTTCTGATACATGCTATGACATGGATGAATCTTGAGGACCGTATGCTAAGATAAATAAGCCCACCACAAAAGAGCAAATACTATGTGATTCCACTTATAGGAGGTATTTAGAGTAGTCAGGGGTTGGAGGGAGGGGGAAATGGGGAGTTGTTTAATGGGTACAGAGTTTCAGTTTGAGAGGATGTAAAAGTTCTAGAGATGGGGATGGTGGTGATGGCTGTGCACCAATATGAATGCACTTAATGCCACTGAATTATACATTTACAAGTGATTAAGGTGGTAAATTTTATGTTATATATATTCTACCACAATTTGTAAAAATGGCGGCTTGACTCCTAGGTTTATTTTAAAGAACTGGTCCTTGGCTAAGGAAATGAGAAAAAAATCAGGTCCATTTATTCAGAGATCTTGTCCATTCTCACAGAGATGGAGGTGTTCCTGGATCACATTTGAGGTAATTAAATCTTTGTTCCTGGTAAATTATACACAGGTGTTTTCTTTTCCTTTCTTTTCTTTTTTCTGGTCCAATTCTAAGGCTTATATATAAACAGACAGGAAGTCCTGGTGATAACACAATATTTTACACTCTAAGTTGAACCCAAACACAACTGTGCTCAGAATGGGCACTCCCGGAAGAGAGAAAATATATTAAGTTATAAATCTTTGCAATCTTTCCCTGCCCCGGGCCCACCTTGCTCACTCTCTTTTCTTGTCCAGTATGTAGGTGATGGTAGAAAAGGAGAACTGGAAGAAGCCAGAGAGAGCTGAGCCTAAGTAGGGAGAGGAGAGAAAAACAGAAAGATTGCCAAGGTTTGATTGATGAGGGAGGTTTTGGGAGCGTGGAATGAGAAAAGAGAGGCTGGGGAAAGGGTTGTAGAGTTTCACTGTGTGTTATGAAGGACTTTTTCCCTTTGTCAGTTGCTGCGGCAACGCCATAAATTGTCTGCCCATGACTATGTGTTTGAATGTCCTCAGGCACAAGGGGCCAAGGCTGTGCCTGGGTCACATCCGAGACCCCAGCATCTAGGATCCCGCCTGCCAGACGGTTGCGGCTGAGGCGGTTGAATTTGACAGAGGAGCGAATCCCTGGCAGCATCATTCGGGTCTTGTTCTCATAACTCCTTTTCTTTCCCGTTGCACCACCCAGCACTCGTAAAAGGCCCTTCCGAAGTGATCAACTCAAAGAAGCAAAAGCAATGCCTTCCATGCGGGAAATACTGCAGCAATTATCACTTTATGTCATTCTGGAGCTCTGCAAAAGACTTGAAGCGAGAAAAGATAATGGCAGTGACAGAAATTATGTTGAGCATGGCTGTATATCACTTCATTTAGTGTAGGAGGAAGTCAAAATGTTCATAAAAGTCCATTTGGTCTGAAAGCAAATAACTTAAGTCATTCAAACTCGGTCTTGTTGGACCGTAAAGCCGCTGGCGATATTTGGTAGAAACGACTCTATAGAAAAATAAATTATATTTATTGAATTGAACTTCAAGTAATAACCCTGCCACCTACTCTTTTTTTTTTTTTTTGGCCTTCCACATCCTATGAATTTTGATGAATTACAGAAAGTTCTATGGCAACATAATCACTTAAACAAAAAGCTATCCAGGTAAACACAAGCCCCTTTAAACCAGGGAAAAATTCATTTGCCTTCCAGGCCTGATCACTGTTTTATACTTTCACTGTTCTGATTGGATTTCTCTGAAATAAAATTCAGAGTAACCCCTTTTTGTTTACAGCTCCAGATGTTCCTTGGAGCTACCATGCTAGTCTACAAGGGGCTACTCTAGTCTACCAGTGCCACTCTTGGACGATGGGGTTAGATTCCATCCACCTCCAAGCTCTGCATCTTGGTCTTTTATGATTAAGTGTGCCACTGCGCTGGCCCAAACCTGTGCCTCCTTTGTACAGAAAAGATGTAGGGACCTTGGTTGGGAGCATCCCAGAACCACGTCAAACCGTAAAACATTTTTTACATCCCCCACAATGGCTTAAATCTTGCTCTCTCCATCCTGACTTGTCTGCATGGCTTCCTCTGAAAATTCAGTTCACATACCACTTCCTCCAGGGAGCGCTCTCTGATTTTCCCCTGGGCTAAGTTATCTTAATGCATATCTCCCATAGGCTATTTATAGTGCATCTCTGGAAATTTTGGATCCTCAGGATATTTCAGCTCCCCATGTTTGGAGAATTCATTCCTTCATTCCTTTGTTCACCAATATTTATTGAAGGCCTGCTAGGTTCCAGGCATGGGGGCCACAGCAGTGAAGAAACCAGACACAAATTCCTTCCCTCTGGAGCTTACATTTGAGAAGGGAGAGATAGACAAGGATATAGACAAACAAAAATATAGTGTATTATATGGTGGTAAGAGCCATGGGGAAAAATAGAGTGTGGAAGGGTAATAAGGACTACAGGGGGGAAAGGTTTCAGAGTTTTAAATAGAGTGGTCTCCCTGAGAAGGTGACATTTGAGCAAAGCCTGGAAGGAGGGCTCCCACTCTCCCTAAGACCCCTGGTGGTGGGCAGTAGACTCTGCATCTGACTGCGGAAACTCAGGAGATCAGATGTTCACTTTCCTTCATGCCTTGCAGCTGGAGTAAGGATGGGTGACCTAGGACAACTAAACCCAAAGACTTGCTTTGGTTTTGGAAAGCTAAAGAAGATGACATGGTGGAGAAACTGTGGCAGCAACGTGCAGGTTCCAGGGCATGGGGTCAGGAGTCCATACCTGAGTAGCGTTGTTAGATTAAAACAGCCAGTGTTCACGGACTGTGGCTGCAGCATTTTCATCATGGTAGTTTTGAGAGTGAGGTACCAGCCTCTGCTGATCCTCCCTTTTTCCTGCCTGTTTTATAAGTCTTGATCTTCAGGCTCTCTGGTGCTTCTGTAAGCTCCCTGGTATCCTCCTGGTAAATTCCTTTTCTGCTCAAATAAGCCAAAATTGGTTTCCATTGTTTGCAACAAATAACCCCGACTGGCATATCCCTGTTCCATCCTGGGCTTGCTTCCATTAGCTCTTCTGTCTCGATGTGTGGCAATACCTGGTTTGCCTGCGGGTCTCTTGCTTGCTGTGAAGTCTTGAGGGCAGGGACCCCGTATTTATTTATTGTTCCTCCTGCCTGCAGTTTCTAGCCTGGGGCTTAGCACACAGTGGGGGTTCAGTGTGCTATTGTTGAGTCGATGAATGAACAAAAAGGGGAAAGAATGCATAACTGGAACATCTGCGTCCATGCATTTCCTCACAGCATCCTTACTTTCAAACAAAGTCTAGAGGCCATACCCATCCATGCCAAGGCGGCTCTGTCACTGGGGTCTGACACTCAGTGTAATGAGGAGAGAGAGAGAGAGAGAGACAGACAGACAGACGACAGACAGACATGAAGAAAGAAGGAAGGAAGGAAGGAAGGAAGGAAGGAAGGAAGGAAGGAAGGAAGGAAGGAAGGAAGGAAGGAAGGAAGAAGGAAGAGATAGGGCAAGGAGAGGAGGAAGGAAGGGAAAGGGAGGAAGGAAGAGGAAGGAAGAAGAAGGAAGGAAGGAGAGGAAGAAGAAGGAAGGAAGGAAGGAAGGAAGGAAGGAAGGAAGGAAGGAAGGAAGGAAGGAAGGAAAAATGAACATAACCTAGCTCTAAGAAGATTAAGTAGCTTGTTCACAATGCCTGACTAATACCTGTGGGAGTTGGGATGAAAAAGCAGGCATGTCCTGGTCTTCTCCGAAGCCCGGGCCCTTTCTGCTGAAAGAGGCTTAGGAAAGGCAAAGACAGGAGATGTGTTTTAGGAGGTCAGGCAGAGCCAATCCCCAGGTTTCCAAAGGCAGCATCTTGTTCCGAGTGGATGATCAGGGAAGGCATGAGCCATAAGAGGTGTTCAGAAAGCATAATCATCTTGAGCACTTCACATCCAGCCAGGGTCTCTAGGGCCACTGGTGGACAGATCCTTCCTCTGCTCTGTGTTCCAGCAAGGACTGGCTGTGCTGGAGCTCGAAGAAGCCCTGGGTGAGAACCGCTGATCTACATAGAGGATGAAGCAGTTCAGGATATTTGGGATGGTGTAAGAGGAGAAGGCACGACCCCGAACCGGCCAAGACCTCTGTTTGGCCGATGGTCAGATAGGCTGGTAAGTCCTCTCCCGGGATTGTGGTCAGTCTGCACCTTGTCAGGACATGGGCGCTCCATGGGAATTCTGCACCCTAGAAACTAGGACAAGGAGCAGCTGATCCCATCAGAAACAGTGGGGTGCCAGCTTCTAAGTGGCCATGTGGCCTTGGGCTGGTCTCTACCATAGTGATAAAGGAGCTAACATTTACTGACGGTTATTATGTGCCAGACACTAGTTTTAATGCTTCCTATCTATTTACTCACTTGATCCCTATGACAATCCAATAAAATAGCTACTAAAGTTACCCACATTTTATCAGTAAGGAAACTGGGTGAGAAAGGCTTAGCAACAGCCACAGTTGCACACAGTGGAGTCAAAATGAATACACAGGCTCCAAACTACTGATTTTATCTCCTCTGTTTCTGATTTTTAAAATATCTCCCAGTCTGAAAATTCTAGGATTCTAGGCAGTCATGAATGCAGCGCATGTTTATTGAGCATAAATATAAGCTGGACAGTATGGGCCGTGAGTCTTCTCCAGGAATCCAGTTCTAGAACAGGGGAGGTAAGACAAGCATGTTTTTATTTCAAAAAGAACCAACCAACCAACCAAAATGTAATGGCCATGATTAGCTGATTAACTGTGTGTTAGATGTCAGTCATGTGTTAGACACTGGGCCTGAGTTAGCTTTAATCCTCACAAGAGCCCTGTAGGGTCATTATCACCTTTCTGCAGCTAAGCTGTTAGGGCTTGGAGAGGTGACTGTGGCTTGCCAAGGGACATCAGAGAGGTTAATATAGAGTAGAAGGTGGAAGGCTAGCGTCTCATCCCAGGCTCAGATGGGCCACCCTCCCTCTCTGTCACTCGGGGGAGGGCGTGAAGTAGATTAGTTCACGCTCCAGACTCTGAGGCTTGGCTTCTTTGGCTCCAAGACTGGTGGCAATTCCAGGTATCCTTCTCTCTTTCATAAGAAAGTCCGTGGAGGGAAGGAAGGAGATTCCAGGTGGCTTTTGGATGACCTGAGGAGTTGCTCCATTAGCAACAAGCACAAAGCAATGATTTTTTTTTTTTTTTTTTTTTTTTTTGGCTTGCTCCAGGCATGGTGGGTGACTCCTTTTCTGAGAACACTGAATGGTGCCGCCCACCTGGTGGTCTCAGCCCCGGGTGTCCCCGTAACCACTCCATGTTACATCCGCAAGCCTGGCATGGTCCCTTCTCGTGCCTTTTCATGCCTTTTCCTTGATTTGTTCTCCTCTTTCCAGTCCCCCTCCACACTATCACCCCTTGGCAAACTCCTGCTCACGCTTTGTGACTCTACTCCAAGTCACCTCTTCCCAGAACCTTCTGCAATTCTCCCAGTTTAAACGGCAACTCCCTCTGCACTTCCTGAGCCCTTGGTTTATGTCATTATTTCCATAATCAGTATTCATGTTTATGGCTTCCCCAGTCACTCAGAGGTCCCTAAAGCTCAGGGACTTGTGTCGTATTCGTAAACCGTATACCCTGTTGTGCCAGTTGATGATAATATTCACTCATTCGTTCATCATAGTCACAAAATCATTGAGTAGCACACAAGCACTGCACTAGGCTTTGGAGTAGGTGGGGTAAGTTTGCTCTGCTCTCCTGGAACACACAGTCAACTTCAAGAGAAAGACAATCTAACAAAAATTGTGACAGAGTGTTCCAGGGGTACAGACAAGGCAAGAGAGTGACAAAGGAGGAAGACTGACTCTAGGACTCTGCGGGGAGCTCAGGAAGAATTTTCCAAAGGAAACGCTCCAGTCAGGCTTTGAAATGTAAATATAAGTGGGGACTTTTCAGGCAGACAAAGTGGGTGGAGAGGAAAGGCTCTCTAGGTGGAGGGAGAACCCTACACAGAGGCCTGAAACAGAGAGATGAGGTGGTTTGGCAGGGATGGAGGGTAGCGTTTGTGCAGGGGTGTCAGGGCAGGTGGCCGAGAGGTGGGGATCGAGGGGCCAGGGTGTGAAGGACTCTGTGTGTCCTGCTGAGGAGTTTGGTTTATTCTCATGGGTGGGATGGAAGGTCTGCCTGGTTCACAGACAGGGAGCCGCCGCCACCATCCCTGGGCAGAGTCTTGGCAGCTGTGTGTGTGTGGATAAGCCCACATCCTTGGGCGTAGCGGACAGACAGGGATGGACATCTAGCCCCAACTGGAATGATCCCAAGTCTTTTCCCCTAAGACTTACCACTGACACTGAGAAAGAGTCGAATCAGTCTCTTCTTGTGGCTAGTATTTGTCATTGGAAATCACTTGCTAAGCTCCCTTTTTGGCTTCTTATTGTGACTATCATGGGCTGAATTGTGTCTCCAAAACTATGTTGATGTCTTAACCCCTAGTCCTAACCTCAGAAGTCTTAACCCCTGGTCCTAACCTCAGAATGTTTGGAAATGGGGTCTTTAAAGCAGTAATTAAGTTAAGAAGAGGTGGCTGGGTGGGCCCTCAGCCAGTAGGCCCAGTGTGCCTCGAAGAAGAGGAGAGGAGGACACCGACACAGAGGGAAGACGACGTGAAGACACAGCGAGAAGGTGGTCACCTACAAGCCAAGGAGAGGGACCTCAGAAGAAACCAATCCTGCCGACACCTTGATCTTGGACTCTAGCCTCCAGAATTGTGAGAAAGTAAGGTATTGTTGTTTAAGCCACCTAGTTGGCTCTGTTCTGGCAACTGTAGCAAAGAAATACAATGGGACTCTAGCTAACATCTCAACCATGCCGGCATCTGGCTTGTGGTCTGGGGTGATCCTTTATCTTCTCAGCAGGCCCTCAAGGATAGTCCCTTCTGCCACCCCCCAGTTCACAGTGGCAATGTTCAGGGGCCTGGTGGTGGTGGTGGGGTGGGGGCTATTTCCCTCCCTATTTTGGAAAGAACTTGCCTGCCATTCCCAAACTAAATACTTGTCCACTGGACTTCTGAAGGAAGTTTGGACAGTTCTTTACTCAAGGATTCAGGGCTTAGGTGTTGAGCGCCACACTACACAGTGTTGGGGACAGCTGGGCCTTGGTCCGATCACCTTGGCAATGGGCAGCACTCAGCACGCATGGACTGGATCTTGAAGTGTGTCCCAAGTGTTCCTCCATGCCTAATGGTCTTCCTCCTCTCCCTCCCTTCCCAAATCCTTTCCATTTCACCCTCCCCCTAGAGTACTCACTTTCCTTCTTTCCCACCCATTTGTAAATCCATCTCCCACTCTACCAAAATAATGAGGCCTCCTTATCTACCAGTCCTTTCTGGTGTCTGAAAGATTTCCCAGTTCCAGGTACAAGACAGCCCAGAGCTCTTCCCCAGCCCCTTGGTCACTGATGCCTACAGAGAGCAGTTCCGACTCAGGGCCAGCTGGCTGGGCTGTGGGGACTGCTTTTCTCCCGTGGATAGATCAGAGCATCTCCTTCTACTCTGCATTTCTGTGGCTGTTTGTTCCCCAGAGAATTTAAAATGAAACATCACCCCCCAAATTAATTTATTTCCCAAACATACCTCCACTGCATACACATCCTTCTCATCTGCTTGAGAATTTAATATTCTTCTTATTAAGATAACTTTGCATTTATTTCTTGTGAGTTAATACCCTGAACTTATTATGTTCTAATTTTCCCCTTTCTTGATTAGAATTAAATCATAAATCCACTTAACTTGGCAGAGAATGTCATTCCAAGTTCCATGTGTGTTGAAGGGCTAGCTGGTCTTGTTTTACTTCACTGTATGTTACAATCCTAGAAATTATGAGATGGTCACAGTCTACCTGCCCTGGGCAGGAAGGGCACAAAAAGCTGAGAAGAGGAAGAATAATGAAGCAGACACCCAACAAAAGCAGAGAAGAGGGATGGAGGAGAGATGGAAAATGCCCGTGTTGCAGGCAGTATTCTGTGTTTTGTTTCCAGAGCCTTCTTGTCCTCAGGTAGCTGTGGCAGAGATGCTAGCAATTCTAGATGTACAACCCCCCTCACTCTGTAGTAGTAGTAGAGCCTCCAGTCTTTAGTGTGGCACTGCATGCCCAGATCAAAGACTGCATTTTCCTGCTTCCCTTGCAGCTATGTGTGGCCACAGGACTACATTCTGGCCAAGAGGATGTGAATGGAATTGAATTGATATATCTTACCTCTGAGTTGTATATCTTACCTCTGAATTGATATATCTTACCTCTTCTCAGCTTTTTGTGCCCCTTCCTGCCCAGGGCAGGTAGACTGTGACCATCCCATAATTTCTAGGATTGTAACATACAGTGAAGTAAAACAAGACCAGCTAGCCCTTCAACACACATGGAACTTGGAATGACATTCTCTGCCAAGTTAAGTGGATTTATGATTTAATTCTAATCAAGAAAGGGGAAAATGAGAACATAATAAGTTCATAATACTTCCTTAAAGTGAAGTATTGCTTCCTTCACTCACCTTTCCCTCTTTCCATTGGCTAGCTGGCAGATGTGTTAGTGAGCATTCTTAGGCCATGCAGGTGAGAACAATATGCAGGCATGGCAGAGCAAAAAGATGGAAGGAGCCTGGGTCCTGGACAAAACGGAGTCACCTGACCAACCCTGGCCTGCTTACCTCTGAACTATGATGTGGGAGAAAAATAGCTAACTTGTTTAAGCCACTGTTACATTGGGATTCTGCTATGTCAGTGGGACCTATATCCTTCCTGATTTCCACAGGTGGCTTTTGGGGGAGGGGGCGGTGGGGTCCAGCCAACATCTCTTTGTCTCCTTCCACACATTCTTCAACTCAGTCTAAAGTAATAGAATTCACTGTCCTCTCTTCTGGTCACTCACCCCAGTGAAAGCAGTACTGATGGAGGTGCCATAGCCATGCTCCCACTGGGTGAAGGCCCATGACCTTGTCCACTGGACTTCTGAAGGAAGTTTGGACAGTTCCTTACTCAAGGATTCAGGGCTTAGGTGTTGAGCTTAGGATTCAGGGCTTAGGAAGATGATGGCAGTCCTCAGTGGGAAACAGAAATGAGAGCTAGAGAGGCCTGACGGCATTTGAGCTCCTAGTTCCA